GCTAACTATGAATTTCTTAAGACATTTACTACAGCTTACTTTCGGTGCGTCAATCGCTTCTTCCGACGAGCTTCAGGCGAACTTCCGGTGAACATCTGACGAACCTCCGACGATGCTCCGACGGATTCCCGACAAACTTTTGGACTTGCGATGATCCACTTGGCGAGTTCCGACGAGCTTCTTTGGCAAGCTCCTGGACTTCTCGGATTTGTTCCCGTAGAACCTCCGAAGACCGTCCGAACTTCCGTCGAGCTCTCGAACTCCCAATGTGATCATAGTCTTTGACTCCGGCGTAACTCCTGCTGCATGTCTTACTTTCATCGTAGTTAATCCTGCACACTTATCTCATCATATGGATTAGATAATAAATGACAATTGACGTCATCATCAAAATCCAAGATTCAACAGTGAGGAGGTACCTTTGTGCAGTCGTTATCCCAGAACGCATGGAACGGCACCATACGGCGTTGTCTCGAGCTTTTCAGGATGGGATGTACCAAGGAATGCCTTAGTACGGATCCTGGCTCGGCGCGTGGGAGTACTCCTCTTGTTGACCTGGTGGTGGCGTGGCGCGGCATTGGTCGTGACGTGGCCAGGACCCAAAATATTCCTTATCACCCTCCATGATTATCACTTTCCCCCATTTTGTTCAATCAAAATCCCCTTGTTACCCATAGATAGAATGCTCTTGCACTCACCACTAATCATGATGTTGGTGTCAACAACTTTAAGCCACAACCTCGAGGCCAACACGGTTGGGTTCGGGTCCGAATGAGCGGGGATTTTCCTGGATTACTCTTTAGAGTGCTGAGGTAGCCAACTATGTTGGTCCGGTCTCGACGAGACAGTCATTTCTTCCGGGAGGGAACTCCTCGCCTGGGCGCGTGGTGGGAGGCACTTAGTCTTCATCCCTGTATATAGGTCAGGTCGGGAGAGCTCGACCCGACCCCTCCGACGGTCAAGTTAGTCGATTATCTTGGGAGGTTTTCTCCTCTCTTTTCTTTTCCCCTCCCTCGTTCCGAACGTGAGGGTTTTTATAGGGAAGGTCACCATTGTTGATGTGCCCGCTTGCAGGGATAAGAACAATACTTGGTAAGGCGTCTGACCCCGGCGTTGGGGTTGCGTGGAGGACCAGGCTCCTAAAGGATGGCGACGTGCCTTGGTCGACATTTTGTCTGTCTCGGCCCGACACTATTAGGTTAGACCGAGGCAGACGACCCATGCATCTCCTCGGTCCACGTGACCCAGGAGACATCACCCGGGAGCAGGCGACGTTAGTTTGTGTCCCATCATTATTATTATCCTCATCATTCTCCCCCCCCCGAAGGAAGCCATGCGTCGGTTGTTGCTAAGGGGGTCCGGGGCGTGGCTTCTGCTTTCAGTGGTTGTTCCTGCCAGTTTCCTCCTGGTCGGCTAGTTACCATGGTCGACCGGGAAAGTTCCCCAAAGGGTCGCCCTGGCTGGTTGCTAGCCCATTGTCCACGGGGGGCGCGTTGCTGGCCCATCGTCCGCGGGTGGCGAGCTTCATCCGCGGGTGGCTAGTTGCTGGCCCGTCAACCGGGAACCTTAGGTCAGTGCGCGGGGGGCGAGCTTCATCGGCTTCATCCTTACGCCCACCGATCGAGCCGAGGATCGGCTCAAAAGATGCACCAGTGGAGATCGAGGTCGGTCGGCCTCGGAAGAAGGCAAAGACCTGTGTTGCGAGGGGATCCGACGTGGCAATGGCCCAGTCGGGAGGAACCGCTACTGGACCGGCCGATCGCATAGGGAGACGCCTCGGACGGGGTGAAGCCGGCCCCAGTAAGGGGGTGGTGGGTGGGGGGGTGGGGGCGGGGGCAGGGAAGGCCCCTTAAGAGTCCTCCGTTCGCGAACTCTGCTGCCTTCCCGTGGGCATGGAGGACGAGCCCTACCAGGTTCGGGCGATGGAAGATCTCCCAAAGGGCGAAGCCTCTGACCCGCTGGTGGCCCGCTGGGGTGGCTTGTCCCGTGGGGACAGGATATGGGCCGACAGGGATTCCGCGGCCTTGTTCGTCCGCGGAGGGCTTCATCCCAACATGGCTCGGGAGTTGTACACCATGTCCTCCGAAGTCTTACTTGGCAAGTCCGCCAAGTCGCTGCTGTGGGTAAGTATATCGTCATCGGCGGGCACGTTTGCACCCGAGTGGTATTGTCCTGACTCCCTTCCTCTCAGGGTCAACATTATATCATAGCGCTGATGGACCGCGTGCGCGATGCTGGCCGAGTTGTCGGCAGATTGAGCAACCGCAACGTTGAGCTGCGTAGGCAGATCGAGGAGGTTGGCACGAGGTTGGCACCCGAGGGGGTGGTTGCAGCCGAGCAGCGCACATCAGATTTGGAGGCAGAAGTGACGCATCTCAAGTCCGAGCTTAAGGTGGCTGAGGAGCAGAACAATGAGCTCCAGGAGCATCTGAAGGCGACTCAGGCTGAGGTCTGCCTAACGAAGGGGGAGATGCTTGCGCTCAACTAGAAGCTGGAAGAAGCGTGTGCCGAGGCACGCTCGGTTTCTGGGGCCCTGGCGGACGAGATTCGTCAATGGCCAGAGAAGGACAAGGAGCTGATTGAGGCCTACAAAAAGTCTCTGGGCTTCGAGCTCGGGCTGACTCAGTTGGGGCGGGTCACCTGGCTCGCTTCAGAGCGCGCTACCCCAACATGCTCGAGGAGCGGTGTGCTGATGCACACTTGAAGGCCCTCTCCTACAAGAGAGCTGTCGCTAGAATCTATAACCGAAAGGTGCGTCCCCGACCGATTAAGTTCGGCAATCTAGTCTTATACAAAGTCAAAGTCAGCGACCTGACCCGAGCGCGCGGCAAGCTCGATCCAAACTGGGAAGGACCTTATCGGGTGATCGACGTCGTCAGAATCGGCACATACCGGCTCACGACGATGCAAGGCCACCCCCTGGCGAGGACGTGGAGCGTGCAGAATCTTAAAAGATTTTTCGTATAGTGAAATCAAGAAAGACAAGGAAGAGGTCTGAACATTTTCATTTAAACAAAAATCCAGTTACAGGACCAGATAACATATTACAGCATCGGCGACACCCAACCTACCCCATTAGAAAAAATTACAATAGGTCTACCCTATTTCTCGGGGGCTTCGACGCTATCGTCAAAGGAAACTTCCTTGGGCATGTCGAGACCAGCTCGAAGTCCTTCGATCATTGTCCTTTCCTCGTAGTTTTCTGTTTGAGGGGTAGGGAAAACCACTTCGGGCGGTAGGACGACCTCGGTCCCGAATGCGAGACTATAGGGGGATTCTCCAGTCGCGGTTTTGGGGGTGGTCCATAAGGACCACAAGATACTAGGGAGCTCGTCCACCCAAACCGATCGGGCTGTGGACGCTCTTCTTGTGAGCCCATCCAGAATGGATCGGTTGGTTACCTCCACCAAACCGTTCGTCTAGGGGAGGGCCACCGAGCTGAACCTCAATTGAATCCTGTGGCTCGCGCAAAATTCTCAGAACCGCGCACTAACGAACTAGGCCCCATTATCTGTGATGATAGTCCTGGGCAAGCTGAACCGAGTCACTATATTCTTCCAGACGAATTTCTCCACCTAGCGTTCTGTGATTGTTGCTAGCGGCTCGGCTTCGACCCATTTGGTGAAGTAATCCACTCCTATGATGATGTATCTTCGCTGCCTCGAGGCCGGCGGGAAAGGTCCGAGGAGGTCCAATCCCCATTGTGCGAACGGCTATGCACAGTTAATGGGGGCAAGCGGAACCGCGGGCTGTCGAGGCGTCCGAGCATGCCTTTGGCACGAGCCGCATCGTTGCATGAAAGCTTTCGCGTCCCGACACATGGTCGGCCAATAGTACCCTTGGCGAAGAATCTTGCATGCCAAGGTTCGCCCATTGATGTGTTCCCCACAAATCCCTTCATGGACCTCGGCCAAAACCGACTAAGCTTCTTCGGGTTCCAGGCACCGTAGGAGAGGATGCGAGAAAGACCTCTTGTAGAGCCGTCCATTCA